GAATAACAAAGTTGGAAAGGACCTTAGAGATCTTCTAGTGTAGGGGTGTCAAACTCGCGGTCCACGAGCCAGGGGCATCCTGTGCTGGCCACACCCACCCACGTTTTAGTGAAGGGGAGAGTTGCCATACGTCCCGTGATGACCTCATGTCATCGTGAGTTTGGCACCCAAGTTCTACTCCAATTCTTGCCCCAGCAGCAGTTCCTACATCATTCCAGACAAGTGGCTTCCAGTCTCTTCTTAAAAGCCTCCAGTTGATGGAGCACCCACGACTTCTGAAGGCCAGCTGTTCCACTGGTTAATTGTTTTCACTGTTATGAAGTTTCTCCTTGGTTTTAAGTTGCTTCTCTCCTTGATTAGTTTCCATCCATTGTTTCTTGTCCTGCCCTCAGGGGCTTTGGAGAATAGGTTGACTCTCTCTTCTTTGGGGCAACCCCTCAGATATTGGAACGCTTCTGTCTAAGTTGTCCGTTCCTTTTAATGGGTTCTTTTTTGTTGAAATGTTAGGTGACCTTATATTGTGATCCTTGACTCAAAAAATGATTATTACATGGGCAAATTATTTTAAAAGTATAGGCAGTTTTATTAGTTATGGTATGATAATGAATTTTATTAGGAAACAAAAGCCCGAGAATGACATAACTAGTAATTTGATTTGATTTTTCTGATCATGCAAGATGACAACATGAAACCCAAAAAAGAAAAAACAACCCAATATGACAATATGAAAGAGAAAAAACTGAAAGTGTATTGTTCTATCATATGGAAGGTATTAGAATTGTTCTTTTGTTTCATCATGTTTAAGGAGTTAGGAATAATCTGAAGCTGTATTAGACCCATCTGGCTGTTCAGGAAAATCCCACTTAATTGCTCTTTTGCCAAAAATGTTATATCACTTCCTGGGAATGCAATTAATGTAAAACATATGGAAAGCACTGGAGAAGGTCCACAGTGAATTCAATTTTTTTTTTTTAGATGCAGCCATTTTTCATAAGAAACAGTAGGGCATGCTATCCTATAATGTCGAGAATTAATAAAATATGTCTGTGCTCCACCCTTGAACCTTAAGCCGTATGGAGCTTGTCAGAATAAGTCAGCAATATATATATTTTTTACTGTGCTTTTTTTTTTCTTTGAAAACTGACACTGTTTTTTTTACTGATATTTGTTTTTAAGTAGAATTAGAAATAATTAAAAGGTTTTAATTATTTTTTTAGTATAAATGTTGGTACGGGTAGTCCTTTACTGATAACATTTCCTTTAGTGACAGTTCAAAATTACAATGGCATTGGAAAATGCTGATTCTAGCCTAATTTGGGTGTGAATTTTATTTCAGTTGGTTCTTCCAATACTTCTCGATCAGATCGTTAGAAATTTTGCCATCGTGAATGCTCCAGGTCAACTGCTGTATGGATTAGAGTGTTTTATCTGTCCAAATGCTCTTTGAACAAGCAGACTATTGTTGTGGTTCGCCCGCAGCCTGTGTAGATGGCAGCAGAGTCGGACAGTGGGGAAAAAGGAGGCCCAGTCTGGGAGTCTGGGGAGGTCAGATACAGAGATGAGGCCAGGGGGAGTCTGGGGTCCTGTGTCTGATACAGAGATTGGGCCAGGACCATCTGGGAGTGGGGTGCTAACTCCGGAGCCTCTGGAGACTGGTAGCAGCGAGGCAGAGGAACCAGGGGAGCCTGTTCCCAGTGTGCATGTGCGCAGAGCTGCTAGAAGGCAAGAGCAGCCGCAACAACAGGGGCAACTCAGGAATAAGGCCTGGAAGGTGATTGCCCCTCCCCTAAGATATAAAGGGCAGGCAAAGATGATGAAACCTTTGCAGGAAGCAAAGCCGTTCATTCTGTTCAGATTAATCCTTAAAGCTCCATGTAGACTGTACTTCAGTTGGTTTTTTAATAGTTCATTTGACATCTTAGTTATTGGCAGCACTTCAAAGGAGAGAAAGGTGGGTGCTTATCTCTAAAGACTGTTTGGGACTCATTACAGGCTGGGAATGAACATAATTCCCAGCATTTAAATAAAACAAATGTTGTTTTAACTAAGCGTGTGTTTAATTACGGTCTTGGACGCCTTGGTCAGAACAGCCATGGAGATAGCATTTCTGATTCCAAAAAGCATCTCTCTTCAATAATTGTGCTGAAATTTCAGAAGTTGGCTGGAACTACTGGCAAATATAGAGGCAGTTGGTCAAGATGTTGTGGTCAGAATTCTATTCGGTTGTTTGATGCAAGTTATAGTTTCCAGGTGATGTTTCCACATGAGCTATGAAACAGGACAGGAATATGCTGCTGAAATCCAATGTGACAGCCTAGGGATTCTGTACATACTTAACACTGCTGATAATAGTAGAACATGGTTCACATATTTTGTATATGTGATAATTAAGTAAAAATGGGTTGCTTGGACTGATATCACACTGTTTGAAGAATGTATGAGACAACGCTCTGTGCATTGCATGTTGGCAACCCAAATAAAATTGACTAAAAGCTTATCTGCATGTCCTATTTCTCCCAACTCAAGGGGTTTTGTAAGAATGTATGTTGTCCTCAAGCCACCAGACTGCTGCAGAGGGAACTTCCCACCATCTTTCTCACCTCATCTTGAGAGCAATGTTTTCCAAGTTCTGATGGATAGTGATGTTGTGTGGCCCAGCTGCTACGCTTCATTTTTTTCCCCCTAGGGACTCTATTTTTCCAGCAAGTGAATTCTGAAATTCCTCTTCTACTTCACATAATAGGAATTTTGCAAAACCCTGGGTGTTTTCTATCCAGAGAGATTAATAGCCAGATGTCAATTATAACAGGGGCTTGTACAAGAGGTATATTGATGGAAACCACATAGTCTTAAAGACTCGTGCATGGAAGGAAAGTAAGTGGCCCTTGCTTTCCAAGCATTGGGGAGAGGTTTAAAGACATGGCAATTCCTAAATTGCATTAACAGAGGGAAACAATCAAAATCAAGGGAAGTACTAATATCACTGTATAAAGCCTTAGTAAGACCACACCTAGATTACTGCATCCAGTTTTGGTCACCACATTATAAAAAGATGTTGAGGCTCTAGAAAAAGTACAGAGAAGAGCAACAAGAATGATTAGGGGATTGGAGGCTAAAACATGTGATGAACAGTAGCAAGTACTTGGTATGGCTAGTCTAGTGAAGAGAAGGACCAGGGGAGACATGATAGCAGTCTTCCAATATTTGAGGGGCTGCCACAGAGAGGAAGGGGCCAAGCTATTTTCCAAGGCACCTGAAGGCCAGACAAGGAATAACGGATGGAAACTGTTCAAGGAAAGATTCAACTTCGAAATTAAGTGAAATTTTTCTGACAGTGAGAACGATCAACCAATGGAACAGAAGTTGCCTTCAGAAGTTGTGGGAGCTTCATTACTGGAAGCTTTCAAGAAGAGACTGGACAGCCCTCTGTCAGTAATGGTGTAGGATCTCCTGCTTGGGGAGGGTGTTGGACTAGATGACCTACAAGGTCCCTTCCAACTCTATTAATCTCTTAACCAGTCAAGATACGCTAATTGATAGTGTGCATTTGCCAAATCTGAAAAACATATTAAAATCCAATACCTGTTTTTTAAAACTGATTTTATTAGTCATTTTCAGCAAAGGAAAAAGGAGCTTAGAGTTGCTACATAAAAGAGCCCCAAGCTTGTTCTTTTGACTTTCTATTCCCATATTATGTTGGCTACAGTTTTCCTAATTCCTTGTAGAATTGAATTATGGGTGATATGTACCGTATTTCCCCATGTATAAGCACCCCCTTTGTATAAGCCACCCCCCCCAATTTTTGGACTGTGAAGTTTTGAAAAAAATATTTTATTAGAGAAACAAGTTATGAAGAAAGAAAATTTACAAAGAAACAAAATTCGACGTCTAGATCTACAACTTCGGTCATGACGCCGAAAGCGGTGCGGGCGACGCTAGCAATCTACGCATCGGAACGAGAGTAGGAACGAAGCATTCAGGCCGATGCCTAGCGTATGCATTTCTATCGCGTACTCGCACTCGTAATCGTATCATCACGTACAATTTTTACAAAAAAGTATAGCATACTGCTGGAAAACCAGTTTATTCCTACTTTATTATTTTATGCATTTTTCACGTATAAAAAGTGTACCTGCTTTGTATATGCCACCCCCCTACTTTTGGGGCTTGAAAATTTTGGAAAAAAAGGGGTGGTTTATACATGGGGAAATACGGTAATATAGCTGAAAGGTCTGTAGAATAGGGATACCAGTCAAAGCTATTGAGAGGTAAATAATAGCAGAAAATGTCAAGTAAGTAGAGAACAAATGTCAAATATCAGAAGCTGTAGAGAAAGCAAATTTTCAACTTAAAAAAAACAACATGCCAATTAAACACAATTTAAAATTTTACAATCTAAGGAAACTTCTAAGGATGTATCTAAAGATAGTTCCTAAAATGTGTGCTACTAGCGTCTATGTTTTAACCTTTTCATTCTTAAATTTGATGGTATACTCTTAGTTCAAGTTGGATTATCTACAGTGGTGGTATTCAAATTTTTTTACTACCGGTTCTTTGGGCATGGCTTGGTGGGTGTGGTGTGGTGTGGTAGGTGTGGCTTGATGGGGATGTCAGGGGAAGGATATTGTAAAATCCCCATTCCTTCCCCACCCCACTAACCTGCTTTCCAGCTCCGTTCTCCTCTGCAGGGCAACAAAAGAAGACTCAATCAATCAGCTGGGACTCGGGAGGCGGAGAATAGATGGGGGCAGGACCAGTCAGAGGTGGCATTTGCCGGTTATCTGAACTATTCAAAATTTCCACTACTGGTTCTCCAGAACCTGTCAGAACTGGCTGAATACCACCTCTGATTATGTGTCTTCTGGGAAATTATATGCACTTACTGCAAAAAGATCTCACTGTTATGTAGAATCTTAGAAATAACAGGAAAGCATTTATTTAAAATATTAAATAAGGATGTACAAAATTATGAAAATATAACAATTTTATTTTTCCCCCAGGCTGTGCCAGCTATTACAGAAAAGGTGAAGGCTGGTGAGTGGATAAAGGCATATTTCTTTTGTTTTTCTTCAACTGATGTTGTGCAATAGTCCCTAAAGAAACAAGCAGGTTTGAAATACAGTTTCAGCACAAGGTGCAAATTATGAACTTAACAAATATTAAGTGCTTGCTGTTAATAATCCGTGTTTTCACTCCATTGTGGAAAACAGTGATATACATTGGTGGAAAAGATTTTCACAAAGTTGAAAGATCAGTCCCGTTAAAAGCTAAATTTGGCCTGAAGCGATATGGCCAATGATCAGTCAGAAAGACAAAATCTGACATAATAGTCTGGGATCTTGCTTTCTTAACCCTCAGTAACAAAGAAATAATTGTCTTCTGGATCATTTTATTGTTGGTACTTTTGTCTAGAAAGCATGTAATAGCAATTTGGAACTCATATGCAGATAGCTATAAATGGCTTCTGGTGGATCAGCAGGCATTCTGCGCATAGTTAGAAATTACACTTTAAAGCCTCTTCATTATTGCAAAGTATCCTAAATTCTCTCTTTCACTAAGAACTTAGTGTAACTTTATTATCATGAGTGGTTGTTTTTTTAAAAAAAAATATTATCCTAGGCTGACATTGATAACGTTTTAGATTACTGCTTTATAACATTTTTCTGGGTTCAAATCAATTATGATTTTGCTACTCCAATAAAGGGTTGATTGTGCTGAAGAAGAAGGAGTAGAACTATATTTTTGGTTCTAGATGCCTTAAATGCTTTTTCTTTCTAGCATCTGTCGACTAACATAGAGATTAAAAGTGACTGACTGATGTGCCATCAAGTTGTTGTCAACTCCTAATGATCGCATTGATAAATTTTAGTCATGATGATCTATTCCTAACCTGGTCTTTCAGAGCTTCCAATAGCAATAGCACTTAGACTTATATACTGCTTCACAGTGCTTTGCAGCCCCCTCTAATGTCAGAGTGTTACAGAAATATATGTGGTAGGCAATACCTGGCAAACAATCTTCTTAACTCAACACAGAGAACCCTGCAATGGATACAGGACACAAGGAGAGAGAATACATCCTCTAATGGCTGCCTTATATAAACACCTCTTAAAGTGATAAAACGTATGTGGACCTCTTCTTAGTCTAAAACCGGCAATACCAAGGCTGATTCATCTTCATTGCATCAACCTTACATTGCATCAGCCTTACAGATGATCACCTCTTAAATCTCAATACCTTAACATGTAAGTGGTTTACAGAGTCAGCCTCTGGCCCCCAACAATCTGGGTCCTCATTTTATCTACCTCCGAAGGATGGAAGGTTGAGTCAAACTTGAGCCTGGTGAGATTCAAACCGCCAAATTGCAGGCAGCCAGCAGTCAGCAGAAGTAGTCTACAGTATAGCACTCTAACCATTGCACCACTGTGGCTCAAAGTAGGGTATTCATTACCAATGTAAATGAGTCCAACTACCTTGTTGCTGGTTGCTCTCTTCTCTTTTTCTTTCTCTCTTTCCCAGCTTTTCCAGAGAGCTGGGTCTTCGCATAATTATCTGAAGTAGGATAATTTAAACCTCTGGTCATCTCTGCCTTAAAGAAAAACCCTGGCTTGATTTGTTCAGTGAATCATCTGTTTCTTTTTTAGTCCACTATTAATTTTTAATATTAAAAAATATTCATGATCAACTATTGCCACTGAGAACAAAATATTTATCGTAGACCACTGTCTTTGCATCATTTCTCTAACATTGTGTAAAACCGTGAATACAATTCTGGCAGATGTTTTCCTGACGTTTCTCTATCCTCCCATTCTCTCCACTTGAGTTCTTTCTCCTAAGTAAAAGAATTTTATCCAAGGCAGGAAATAAAGCTTCCGCCCATTCTTGCAAGCGGAGGGAACCCTCCCCTTTCCTTGTTTCTCTGGAAACGGAGTGGCTTTTACTCTCTTAACCAGGCAATCTGGCTTACGTACTTTTGCAACACGCAATGGTAATGGAAATTTAATAGTGGAGGAACTTTACAGGATAACAGAGTTGGAAAGGACCTTATAGGCCTTCCAATCCAACTCTTTGCTCAGGCAAGGAACCCTATACCATTTCAGACAACATTTATTTATTTTTTATTTATGTAGTCTTTGCAGAGTTATTTCCTGTTCCTTTAAGTATCACCTTCTAAAGACCATAGAAATCAGGCTACATGGGTTTTAATTGCTCTCTTCTCCTTTCCACTCTCCTTCTCCTAGAGAATAATTCATATGTTTAAGGTACACATTGCTAGATGTACAGTTCATGATAGAAAAAAAAAATTGAATACTAATATGGACTATAGAGGCATGTGCTAGTACTTTCTGATAAAGAACATCAGAAGACAGGAACTTCTCATCTCAATGTCATGGGAGCAATTACAGAATTCCTTGTGATTTCGGAGGAAAAGCTACTTCATAATTACATAAAAGAAATGAATGAGTCCCTTCCCCCTACCTTTTGTAATTAATAATAACACTCTAAGCTTAAAGGCCCTCATTTTCTAAAACAAGTCACATAGTTTTTTCCCCTTATTCCTGCCGAAACCAGTATTTTTTCCACAAAAGATACAGATGCTGCTGCTGAGAAATGTATCAGTGCTGTATTTACTTATAACAAAAAGGTATCATTTATTTTGTTATCACACCTGAACATTCAAAATTTATTCATTTCACTGCTCTCTTTCTTCTCTGTCTCTCTCCCCCAGTTTAAAAAGAAACTATTGGATAGCTGTTCATAGCTTAATGCTTTCATGCCAAGAAGAATGTAGCAAGAACAAAGAATACCTTTTCCAGCAATCATGGTGTATTATTTAAACATCAAGCCGGTGTATCCTAAGTTGAGAGCTGGTTAATCGCTAGGATCACCAGAACTTTATAATAAATAGTTTTGCAGTTAAGGTTGTTGTCCTTTAAAGAAAACATTATTGATTAACCAGCAATACCATTAACAATGGTCTGTAACTTCCATCTGTGACTTGGATTCTTTGTCTGCTTAGAGCAGGGGTGTCAAATTCAAGGCGCACAGGCTGGATCTGGCCTGCAGGGTGTTTAGATTTGGCCCAGGGGGGCCACCCTGTAAACAACGAAGGACTGGCCCGTGGTGCCTCTGCCAGGAAAAATGGAGCTTGGGAGCGCCACAGTTGGCCTCCGCAAGCTCCATTTTCGCTGGCAGAGAGCTGCAGGAGACTGTCACGGCTGAAAACGGAGCCTCAATGAGTGACGTCTAGCTGGCCATGCCTAGGCCCACCTCGGTCAAATGGTTGTCCAATCTCTTCTTTAAAACTTCCAGTGTTGGGAGCATTCACAACTTCTGGAGGCCAGTTGTTCCACTGATTATTGTTCTAAAATTTCTCCTTAGTTCTAAGTTGCTTCTCTCCCTGATGAGTTTTTTTTTATTTGTCAATTGTTTACAAGATAATAAGTATAAGTGTATACATAGTTATGAATACATGAAATGGGTACATATAAGAAAAATAAAATAAAAATAAAAAAACAATAGGACAGGGACGGTAGGCACATTGGTGCGCTTATGCACGCCCCCTACAGACCTCTTAGGAAAGGGGTGAGGTCAATAGTAGACAGTTTAAGGTTAAAGTTTTTGGGGTTTGGGGAAGAAACCACAGAGTCAGGTAGAGGATTCCAGACATTGACCACTCTGTTGCTGAAGTCGTATTTCCTGCAATCAAGCTTGGTGCGGTTAACCTTGAGTTTGTATCTGTTGTGTGCTCTTGTGTTGTTATGGTTGAAGCTGAAGTATTCATTGACAGGTAGGACATTGCAATGTATGATTTTATATACCATGCTTAAATCAGACCGAAGACGGCGTAATTCAAGGTTTTCTAGTTCTAGAATTTCAAGTCTGGTGGCATAAGGTATTCTACAATGAGTAGAGGAGTGGAGAACTCTTCTTGTGAAATATTTCTGGACTTTCTCAATTGTGCTAATATCAGATACGTAATGTGGGTTCCAGACTGATGAGCTGTATTCGAGTATTGGTCTAGCAAACGTTTTGTATGTTTTGTATGCTCTAGTTAGTAGTGTGATATTACCAGAGAAAAAGCTACGTAAGATTAACAACTCTTAATGCCTTTTTGGCTATGTAGTTGCAGTGGGCTCTAGCACTTAGATCATTAGAGGTGAGTATTCCAAGGTCCTTTACAGAGCTTGGATCATTGCTCCTTGTCCTGCCCTCGGGTGCTTTGGAGAATAGCTTGACTGCCCCTTCTTTGTGGCAGTCCCTGAGATATTGGAACACTGTTATCATGTCCTTCTTTTCATTAGACTAGAATTAAAAACTAAACTAAACTATGAGTAATGCATGGATAAATTAAACAATTTTAATGTAAATAAACTATGAGTAATAAATGGATAAACTGAACAATTTTTTTTTGGAAAACAGTTTTATTAATTTTAACAACAAACCAAAACACATAAAACATAAAAACTTCATCCTTTCCTTCATGAGTTTACAGACAGTGTGTCGGTTAGAAATTAGAGAACAAGAAGATAAACAATTCTATGAAGTTTGGGACCTTTTCTATCAATGGCTAGATAATAAAATATAATAATAGAATATTTAGAACCTTAGGAAACAATGAATACATATTTCTTTTTTTTCTTTGATACTATCTTTATAAAATTCTATTAAGATAGACTTGGTATGATTTGCTATAAAATAAATTAAGTAAACTATAGTTATCTCGTTAAAGTATGAACTAATAAAATTATAGTCAAATGATTGTTTAATAATGATATCAGGCTATATAATTGTTGATTGATAATATGAGCTACTATGTAATATAACTACAATGGAGACTATGAAATGGATGCACAAAAAAAAAAAACTGAACAATTTTAATGTAAATAAAAGCAACATAGTAAATTCTTGATGAATACCATAACAGAACCAAGATATATCAGTCTGAGCCCTACATATAGAACAGTGGTGGGATTCAAAGATTTTTACCACCGATTCGGTGGGTGTGGCTCAGTAGACACACGTGCATGCAA